AATTTGATGCCACTGAAAATAATTTGGATTATGCTGCATTTATCATCCTTTGTTGCACTGTGGTTCCAGTGGGTGATGGATCAACCCTCTGAAATGACTCCTCAGGTTAACACTCTATAATCCTGAACTGAGGATGAACATGAATGTTCATGTTTAGGTTCCTTTAAGTCTAAGATCGTTGTCAAATGACAAAGTGCCCCATGGCATGTTGAGAGAACTAATATTGATTCTTCTCCCTGAGTGTTGATTGGTGAATTTAGGATGAATCTGAATTTAGGATAGATTTTATCTCATTTCATTTTATTTTTTTCCTGCTTAATGTATGGTTGTTATTGCCCCTAATGAGGCCAGTAGCAGAGAGCTACCACCACATATTTATATATGGGCAAATAAATCTGGGCCAGTGACCTCACCAAGCACAGTTCATTATGCAGCTGTCACCAGGAGCCATCTGTACAAGTTCAGGATGACAAGGCAACTTGTCGGACCTTTTCAACTCTGAGTATCTGTAATACGAACTTTCTTTCCTTCTGGTTATTCTATCAGATCTTCCTCCCTCCATTTGCTTCGTTTGCCTTGGGTGCTGTAATCCACAGCCTGCCACACTGGCTTACTTACAGGGTGCCTATTTACCCCGGGTACTGTTTGCTGTTAGCATGCTAACCAACCAGACAGTTGGGTACGTGCTGGCTCTGAGGCCGGACAGACATGTTCCTTCCCTGAGGGAATTCTGCATTAGAAAGACCAAGTTCAGGATGCAGCCAAACCTGCCCTTCCCAAACCCCACTGGCTGTGTGCGAAGCTCCAGATTTTCTGAAGGAATTTAAGCAGTCAAGATGATAGATTGTAAAGGCACCCAGGGCACTTCATTGAGACTCAGTTTCCTTTCCTGCTGTGTCAAGTGTAACAAGAACACATTTGCTGGGTTCCAAGAGAGAAAGGGAGTGGCATTGTAATGCAGACTTATGCAAGGCAAAGCCCTGACACGCTTAGGATGGCTTTATTTTATTCACAGACTCTATCTGAGGCTTCTCTTAATCAAACTTGCCAACCTGTCTTTAGGGAGTGTTATTTTATAAAGTGTTTGCCTTAATTCTCATCCATGGATAGTCTCCAGTGGAGAGGGAGAATGTTCTCAGTAAGGGGAATCATGTAGGCAGTATTGTTTCTGAAAAGGAACTTAATATCAACAGCTAAGCTCTCAGTTAGAGCCAAGTTATAAGGATTTGCCGCTAATCTGAAACGGAGGCTGCGCTCGTTGGTAAAAACCCGCCTGGTGTTTGTGGATCTCAAAATCTGTATATTGCAAAAATGTGCTGCCTTCCCAGATTTTGATATTGGAAATGCCACATGATTTGATTTAGGCAATCATTTTTTATATCTGTCTCTGTGATTGTTTTCTCTCTGCCAAATCCTCAGAAGCACTGAACTCCGCATGGAGCTGGCAAATGGGGCTTCTGATTGATTGAAATGTACAGGACTTTGCCAGAGGGCCGCATAGTTAAAATAAAATATACATACAGGGTACAAGAGTCAGCCACTACCAGCCACTGTTAAGTTAAGCAGGGCTTGTCATATGGAATTTCCAAATCAGAGCTTTGTTGGATCATATAATAATCTGTTGCTAAGTGCGTAGTTGGAGGGTTTCTCCCCAGCCTGCGCTTGACTCCTGCAAAGCCATCCTAAAGTTTCTGAAGGAGCAGAGCTGTTCTGTGAGGGCACCTGACTCTGCCCTACAAGCATTCTCCTTTGCTGGGAGTTGGTGATTTAATTAGCATTGTTTTGAGTCAAGGTGTTCTGTTTTTACCCAAAATGGGGCCTTTACCTGAAATGACTGCCACCTGATCTTTGCATGAAGGAAATGCTGGCCTTCTGCTTCTCAGAACTTTGCAAACCTGTCAGGGGCTCCCATATGACTCCACCGTGCTCTGTATAGGAAATTATGAGACATTATCAGATCCGAGCTATACTTTTGCTGCAGCAAGATAATTTCTGCAGGCACGACACCTGGCTGGCCTTGAGTGGTGATTAATTTTATGTGTTTAAGGTGTACTCATCACTCAGAAAAGAGGGTGAGGGTTGGTATGATAGATGATGAGCAGGAAGGAGATGGCCCGTGGAACTGTTCTACACCATCAGTTCCTCTGCTCGCTGGCACATGTTCAGAGATAACTTCTTTGCATCTGCCCGGGATAAACAAAGCTACCATAGACCCTGCAGAGCGCCATGCTAGAAAGAATTTAGAGGCCACACCATCTGAGCATCTGAAGCACAGAATGGTTTCCACTGTGTCTTTCAAAATAATACGTGTCCATCTATACTTTGCGTAAAAGGATGTTTGTGTACAGGTGGGTGTAGTGGAAGCTGTGGGATTCTACCTGGTTCTCCTTTGGGACTGAGGCACTTATTTCCCACCCCCCTTTGCTCATCCTGCCTTGGAATGATGGACGCTAAGTGCTCACAGCTGCTTCCCTCCCTGGAAACTAGGGCTTCTGTCACCCCAGGTTGTATCCCTTCCCTGGAAACTCATAGCCAAAGACTGGTCAGTGTTGGGGCACAAAATCCCAGCCTCTTTGGCTCAGTTTGGAACATTTCTGAAGGATTATCCCAGCAATGGTGCTCTCCACAGCATCAGATATCTGCCCTCCACTTTCCTTTCTACCCAACAGGTATTGTTTCCACATACATGCCCTGCGTGCAAATCTCTCTCTCAGAGTCTGTTTCCAGAAAACCGGACCCCTCAAAATAGTCATCTCTATGAGAAAGTCTGTATGATTATGGTATAGAAGTAGATCAATTTTTGTTCCCAAAACTGATAACCACCTTAAAAAAAAATACAGCCACAGTGACAGATACACAATGGTGCCTATAATAACATATATCCATTTCTGCGGCTCCGATGACACACTGCCCTCTGGTTAAAGCTTGCCTCACAAGCAAGGACATTACTGAAAACTACTCATCAGGAAAACGATGTATGGATGAAAATAAACACTCCAAAAGCATTTTTAATCAATCAAAGAGATTTAAGGGAAGGGGTGCTTATACCAACCAAGGGAGAAAAAAAATACCCTTTTTGTACTTCAATTAGCAAACAATAATTTGGATAATTGGAAACAAATGTGTCTTCTTTTATCACATGAATTCTACAGTTCTTTGCCCAATGCTGTCCCCTGCAGGGTAGAAGAAATCAAATCAGAAGAATCCGAACCATTCACAGGCCAAGCATCCCTGAGATTTCAGCCAGGGATGAAAGGGTGTGTCCCTGGGGCCAGCACTTCCTACCTATGCCCTCTCCCAGGAAGGTGCCACCATTTCCCAGAATTGTAGTTTCTCATCATCCTACAAAGAATACTCCCCGGAAATCATTCCTGAGCACCACAGCCAGATTCACGGATGTCCTTGGTCAAATGTGGGCATATAGGTGGTTTGCTTTTTCCTAGTGAAGGACTGGTATTTTCAGAAATCAGCCGACTCGTCTGGATGTCTGCCAAGCAAATTCTCAGCTGGGAGAGGACATTCCCTTTTAAGAGGTAGGTAACACGAGGCTTGAGGAAATGCTCAGGTAGACAGCAAACCAGGAGCCCTACACTATTGTCCCTGAAGGCAGCTGCTTTCTGAAGAGGCAAATGGACTGCGGGTAAGCTAGTGGGAGATGAGAAGAGTCCAGGCAGCTCACTCCGGGCCCTCCCGGGATCCTGCCTGTATTCTGGGCAAAGCCCACCTCCCCCAGGAAGCGTGCCGGGCCCGGGGGCTGGTGCTGGGTCATTCCTCTCCTGCCCTGCTCCCCTTTGCACCACTTACTTCCCAGGAGCCCAAGAAGCACCTCTCAGGGAAAAATGTGCCATCGTTTACATAGGGTGCAGAGATTGATTTTGTGAGTTTTTCTGTGTCCTGAGTGCAAAAGCTAAACTCCAAACCACACATCTTCTCACATCCTCAGCCTTACTCTTCTCTCAGCATCCTGCCAGCTTCAGTGGATCAGCTGCTCTGTCTCTGTGCCCTCACATATGAGGAGGAAGAGGAGGAGGATGGAATCATATTTCACCTAAAATGGCTCATTGAGTCCTCACAAGGAATTATTATTATTATCCCATTTTACAGATGAACAAACTGAGACTCAGAGAGACTAAATTACTTGACCAACATCACACAATCAGTAAGGGTAGAATCTGGCAGAGGGCTTCAGCTTTCTGGGAGCAGACAGCTCATGGACCTCTTCCTCACCTGCATAGCAAAGGGATGGAGCAGAGAGAGGTGTGGTTGCCCAAATTCTGCAAAAAATATTAGTCCTTTAGAAGCTAGGAAGTCACTATTGGAGGCAGGTACTGATATGAGCTTTTCTGTCTTAGATCCTGGCAGAGGGAAGAAAAGCCTATGAGATTCCTTCATTCCTTCATTCCTTCATTCATTCAACACTTCCTCAGAACCTACTTTGTGTCAATCCCAGGCCAGGGACACAAACCTGCTTATGGCCCAGATTTAGGGACACTCACAGTGTGGTTGGGAGAGGTAGGTCTGTAGTCTTGGGGGTCCTGCCTCCTCTCGTGCCCCCCACTGCTCTGCAGGGTCACTGGGCTGGCAGAGGCCCAGCACTCTCTGAAAAGCCACTCAGTTGTGTAGTGAGCATCTGGTGGCCGCTCTACATTTTCTCCTGATGGGTACTCATGCGTCTGTCTGTTTCATCTCTAATAGCTCATCTTCAGCCATTTTCAGTGCCTCCTGTTTCTGGAGTTATGTCAGTAAGCCTCATTCCTGCCCTCAAAGCAGATCCCAGCCTCTGCCTTGGGCCTCCTCTGGTCCATTTGAGGACAAAGGGGCTGACTGCCCTGTTCCTGGAGGAGTGATGATTACACCACCTCACAGGAGAATCGGCAGCTCTGGCCCCCCAGTAGTGCCACTGGGCCCCGGTGGGCTGGGGACCCAGCAGTGGGGATGGAGGTCGCGTTTGCACTGGTTCCCACCTCTGTTGATGAACATCTTCCCCAGGCCCCAGTGTT